TTCAAATTCAACAGAGGCTTAAAAGAGAAGATGCATTATGCAGTCATGTCAACTGTAGTGCATCATGAATAGCAAGAGCACATCAAGTTATTGATGAGAGCAGTGTCAGAAGATGAAACTATATGTAGGGTAGATGGGAGGGGGGTATTCTATGTCTGTGCATAGACGAAGGGTTGGTTGGTTGAGTGCAAATGCAAATTGTTACTTTGACAAGAATCTGCAACTTGTAAGTCTTATCAAAGTGTGTGCCTGTATTTGTTAGCATGTGAGCCAGCTGTAGATCTGATGTGTTGCACCAAAGACATCTGCCAGTATATGCAGTAGCTTCAGAGTGGTGTGTGTGTGTGTGCGTGCATGTGTGTGTGTGTGTCTCTTCACTGTCACCAGTTTCCCACCTACGGGGATAATCCATCCTGTGAAGTGGTGAGGTGGAAAATGCCATTATGTAGAAATAGCTGACATGCAGTTAGACTTGCAGGCATATAAAGTGTGTATGTGTGAGTGAGAAATTGAGATAGGAAATAAAAGCGGAGGGGTGGGAATAAAGGCTAGGGGTGGTAAACCTCATTTTGTAACATTACTTAATCCACATGGAAAAGCAATGAACTAAAAGCCGCAAACACAATAAATGCACTTTCTCTCTGACAAAGCAGAAAAATCCTTGTGATAGCTGCATGGTAAGAGAGCAGGATGTAGTCACAGGCGGATCATTGAGGACATCTGTTTATTTGACTTACGATTGTAGACACTGCATGAATGTTTTGAGGCATTGTTGCTATGAGCAGTGGTGATGTCTGACATCCATGCTGGTCATAAGTTAGGTATTTGGAGGAACACTGCGGTTAACACTTAAATAACCGCTAGACTGACTGCAAGATATTTTGTAGAAAATGGATCTACAGTGAATGAATTACCACAAAACAATCTTTCTAATTCTCAATTTGTTGTTTGGTTTATGACCAGACTGCAAACATACATTTTTCCAAATTTCTTTTCACTTATCATCATGCTAACATTTTAAGCTAAGAGGCTAAACATTGCTCCGTTTCTACTTCTTAAATCTAGTAATACACATTAATATATAAAAGTGTCTAAAGAGGTGCATTTGTTGTCTTTTTGCTTTAAGACTCAAAAGGAGAAATGTGCTCCAAATCGGCTCCAAATTGATCAGCTGATCCCTGTAGAGGGGTCCCTGAAGTAATTAAAGATTACTCTGGTGCCAGAAATGAACAAGATTAACCTTGAAATGCCAACTCTTGGCATTGTGATGCAGTCACAGCTCATAAAAGAGAAGTGGAAAGGAAGAGGATCAAAGATTGGATCAGAAAGTGTTGTCCAACCATCATTCTCAAATACTCAGGGTGTGTTTGCTGTAGTGTATTTAAAAAATCTTCAGGAGAAGTGTATGGCTTTCCTGCCAGCTGTTGGGCAATAAACAAAACCTTTAATCTCATGGAGTTGCTGAGGTGGACATGTGAGTTTGATTATCCAGTTTAAATCTATTTTATCGAACTGGAGCATGTTCATGTCTGCATTCTCAGGACAAATAAAACTGTGTTCAGGCTATCAATGCATAATTGTAAAGTAGGGGGTTCCTTGTTGAGTGAAAGTCATCTTTGATGTTTGCTGTTTTGGTTCTGTCAACTTCAAGACTGCTAGTGCTGAATACTACTTTAATCTTGGGGTTCTTCACAATCATGAGTCCAGTCGTTTCAGTTTTGTCAGCTAAACAGTACAAGCATGCTCAGGAATGCATGGCTTAATCTGTGGTGACGGATGTAAAGCTTTTGCGGTTCATTGCCTGAAAAGACATTGTAGTCAACTTTGTCCATAAAAATTAAGTTTGGTTTTACTGTAATGCTGGTTTACTTTTTTTTTTATTTTTTTTTTATTGTAGCTTCTGTAGCTGCTTGTTTTCGGAAATATCTGTTAAAATACACTTAGAAAATGTTTCCTTAAACTAAAACCAGTCTAAGGCTAAAAGGTTCTGCTTGCTGACACGGCACACAGAAAGTAATCCCCTACCTGCCATTTATAATGACATGAGTTTGTCCTGCCTGCAGTATAACACTAAAGTGATGCATGCAGAGACAGATCTCAGATCTGCATTGGTATGTGAGGGGGAAAGTGAAGTTCCTTGGCTGTTCAAGCCCTCCCAGTTCTCACTTCCATCTGCAGTAGTTGTAAACTATTCAGCCTTCAGCCATTCTAGCCACGTCAGACCAGATGGTCAAATCACATGGAGGCATTTTCTGGAATTCAAATGGTTTCACATTTATCTTTGTTTTTTATGCTGTAATCATATAGATTTACCACTGAAGTGCTCTCTGGTGGAAGCTTGTGTAGCCTATTGGCTTGATAGATGGGTTGCGACTCTTTAAGGCTCAAGTGAATTTTTAAAAAACGTTTTTATGTTGCTGAGTGAAGGCAGAGCTTTTTTTGATGTTAGTCATTTATGCATGCTGGGGTAACTCGCATCCAGATGTTTGCAAGGTATGTAGGGATTAGCAACCAAATGTAAAACATACCTGGAGGAGTTCTCTTGATCATTTCAGAGTTTTAAAAGGAGTTTTTTCTTCTCGTTAATGGTAAGCTCATTTAGTTTGGTTTTTAACGAGTCATTAGTGCTGTGTGAGGTCTTGGCAAGTGTGCTGTACTGACTAAAGATTTAGTCTGATTAGATGCTGATTGCATTTGCTTATGTGAATGTTATTCATTAAACTATTTTGTTGATAAATTAGCACAATACTTGACCTGAATTTGCAAACTAAAGTAGAACAATACCCCTTAAAATTAATTTGTAACAGAGTGATTTTTAGATGAATTTTTGTGTGTTTATAGAAAAATACCTTAGCACTATTTTAGCCCAGAAAAGATATCCATTAATTTATAAGTGTAGGTACAATATTACATTCCTCAGTTCTTAACACCATTGCTGTGTGTTTTCTACTGCTTGCTGGAAAACTCCATGGTCATGCCAAACAGGATTAGGCATGATTATGATGGATGAATGAATGGATAACCCCCTTTTTCTAGAGAAGCGTAGATCTGAATCCTATGGCCAACTTCCAGTCTTTAAATTTCTAAAGCTTTTACTTTATGACATTGATTTTCAAATGATTCTGGTTTCTGTAATTAATCCTTTCAAATATTTGTTTGGCTATTCCACTGTAAGCAAACGGTAATTAAATTAAAGGCGGCGGACTCTGAAATTAAATTAAAAATGTTGAAAGGCTGCCAATATTTCCAACTTCTGTAATTATTCTTGATGGACAGGTTTTCCTTGCTTCCTGAAAGTTTGTTGTTGTTTGAACTGTTTTGTATTTTCACTCTTTTTTTTTTCTTTTTTTTTGGCTATTGCAGTAAAATATGAAATATATTTATCATTTTTAGGAAGAAGCCAAAAAAAATTTATGAAAATCCTGACGGAAGTAGCTTGAGAGTTAAAAGATCTGTAGTAATTACTTTGCTGAAATGTATTTCAAACTTATTTGAAATACATTTATGAAATGTATGAACTACATATTTTTTTCTAATATTAATTTAGAAAAACATAAAGCTTTAGTGCAGTTAAAGAATTTGGTTCCTGTATGTTTGTTTTTGGCTTTTTGTCAAATGTTTCATATGATTACATACATCATACAATATATGACAGTCTGAATAAAAAATTATGAAAAAATTTACAAAATGAAACATTTTAAATAATTTCATTAATTAAAGAAGACGGGCTCTAACCCACCTTTGACCCTGTAACAAAAAAGCAAATTTAGATGATGGATGGATTGATGGATGGATGGAAAGAATCTATCCAAGTCAACTTGGCTCAAAATGAAAACATAATTATCCCCTTATTCTAAAAACTAGATGTTCCACCCTTGGCAACTACAACTGCTATAATTTGTGATAATTGGCAACAAGTCTTTTACATAACAGTGGGGAAATTTTGGCCCACTTTTATTTGAAGCTACATTGGAAGTTTTCTTCTTTTTTTTTTTTTTACCATGAAAAGTCTATGACTTGGCAGTTTTTGAAATGGTCCAGCCAGCCATTTAGGTAGTATTCCTAATGTGCTTTGGCTCAATGCTCTGCTTCATAAAGTAAGTGTACCAGAGTCGCAAACTTTGGTTTTCTTGCAGAGAGCATAATTCATAATCGACAAGTCCGCCAGGTGCTGAAAATTATTCCACTAAACTCTTCAATCATGAGCATTTTGATATTTTGGAGAGTTGGTTCAGACAACTTTCTCATTGATGAATCATGAACACCGACATTAACTGAAGCAGTAATATTTAAAATCTACAGGCCAGGAAATAATTGGGCTTGAATGTGGCCAGTGAAACTGAACCAAAAATGTTTGTTGTTCATGATTTTGCAATTCATACCTTATTTTTCCATGTTTGTTTGGAAAGTTTCTTTTCCTCAATAAAACAAAAATTACATTCCATTTTCAAAATTTGTTTGATAATTGAAAAACAGACGACATCTTCAGGGGACAAATACTTGTTTTGACAACTCTGTAGACGGAGATGAGCAATTTAAAGAGAAAATAACAAGTTACTAACATCAAAGTGAGCAGTTGTAAAATCATCTTTAGAACAAGACAATTTTAAAATCACAGGGTTTTTTTTTTCTTTTTTAATCATCCAATGTTTAAACTTTTAAATTACTGCATGATATGACTAGTTTAACCCAGCAAGTTTCTATTTGACAACTTAAAAACTGTTTGATGTTTTGCTCTCTCTGGCCTCGGGGAGAAGGCTGTAAAACTGTTTGCAGGGAAGTGATTGAGGCCAGCAAGAGTTCAAGACCTCTGCAAACTTCAAGTTTTGTTTAGAACCTCAACATTAGATATCTAAAGATCTGTCAAAGACTGTATCCGAATTGAAGGAAAGCAATCTTGAATAGGACTTTGCATGATAATTGTAACATATTTACAAATGTTTTATCTTGGAGGGTCCTTAATTACTTTGTCACTCCCTGTTCATCTTGTGTGCTTTCAGAGAGGAGCATGGAGGCGTTGTAATTGACTGTGAAGTGGAGTTTGGGAAGAGCTGGGAAGGAGAAGCAGGTGACTGAAGGAGGAAACGAGAAGACGAGCATGGCGCACTCATCTGTTTGGATCTTTCTGTTGTGCTTTTCGCTCACTCATCAAAGGGCTGCAGCCCAAGCTGAAGGTATGGGATGACATTAAATACCTGATCGGAACACCAAGACACAGTTTACTGCATCATCTTGTGTGCTTTCAGATGGGAGCATGGGGGCGTTGTAATTGACGCCTCCATGTGTCAATTACATTTTGAAGAGTTCAAAGCGTTTTCCGGAAACTTGTATTTTAAATTACACCTTTTTATGTTCTTAGGCTATAACTATATTATACCAAATTATTTGGTAATTGGACACATGACTGTTTTGTGGATTTTTCGGTAAGATGGATGTGTCGGGTACTCGAGCCAACGAATGCTATTCTTTTCAATGAGCAGAGCGTGTGAGTGCCCTTTCATTACATCTCCTCCCGTGATTGGTTCAAGGTGTAGACACTAAACCAGCTGCAGTTTCTTTCCAGACTAAACATCTGCTAGAATCCTGTGCAGTATGCATCTTCTTTCTGCAGGCTTGTCAAATACATCCTCTAGATACAGAAAGTTGGCCTCAAGTGCTATTTGATGTCATTAAAAGGTCATTTAGCAAATCGCAAGTTTGGTAATATGATTTGCAGAAAGTGTTGAGGAATGCACGACGTATCGGCAAAAACATCGGTATCAGCCAAAGTTAGTCATTTATTAACATTCCGTGTTGGTTCAATAAATACAGCTGGGCTGATATCAACAGCTTATATTTATTTCCATCTTGTTGCTATTTGTTTCTGGAGAGGTAGGGCAGAAGGTTGGTCACGTGGTATTTGTTTGGTCACGTGATTGTGACGCAGTGCAAGGTTGTTGGTAGTGTGACTGAAGCAGAAAAGCAGCGGTAAATTCAGTGGAGTGCTTGTTTTTATCAAGGTGTTGAAGGATAGAGAAATAGTTAGAATATAAACAATATCAGTAAATGTATATCTCCTGAACAGAGCTCCTTCTTCCACTTGAAGAACTCCGCTTCTTAACCCATTTGCCATTTATCCATTTGCAATATATCAATTACATATAATTGATATAACTATATATCAATTTTGATTTCTAATTGATATAATTGGATATCAATTATATAATGCAATTGACCTGGCACAAATGTATGTTTCAGTTTGAGCCAAAAGGTTTGAGTCTTTTTCATTCCTCTTGTTTCACCTGACTGCAAAGTTTCACCAGTCAATTTGAGAAATTTAATTACAATCTCAGCCTCACACAGACAAGAAGTATCACTATTGCGCACCTTCCTTAAAATGTGTTTTAGCATGGTAGGAAAAAATGCTTGGCTCAAAAGTTGAACATCAAGAATAACAATGGTGGAGGACAAGTAAACACTAAAATGCCATAGTCTGATTCTTAACTATAAGCTTTAAATGTTACTTTTTTACTACAGTTACAGATCTCTGCGCGATTCCCCAGATTTTTCTCATTTCTTTAAAGTACATTTCTTAAACATCACATTTTCCTCTGGACTTTAAAGTGGTCTTGATTAATATTTCTTAAGGATTTGAAGAAATATCCTGAATTTCTCATGCAAACTGGAAACCTAGACATCTGTCAAGTCTTATAATGTCTGTGGTCAATTTCTTAGACATGCCAGACATCGTTCCTCTGCTGCAGACACTGTAGGCCTTAAACATCTTTGGTTCCTGGTCTCCCTCTTTCCTCAGGATGGAAGCTCACACTGTGCAATATTGCTGTCATAGTTGAGCTAAAGAACTGAACAAGAAAAAAGAAAATGCTAAACTTTTAAATATAACTGAATAAGTGATTGTGGCCTTTCAGGCAAAGTGTTCTGGTACGCATAGTACAAATAAAAGAACTAAAGGACTTACTGTGCTGGGTCATATTAGCTGGTTAATTTGTCAGGCTACCTGCTCAACTATAGGACCATCTGGTTAACAGATCTGGAGCATATTTTCCAACTTTAACTTTAACGCAGCGTTACCTTAATATGAATGATAGGTGGCATTCTTTTAGTTCCCAAGCTGTGACTGTTGTTCACACCTAATAGCCCCCAAAAGTCAAATTGTCATTCTTCTCAGGGATAAGGATAAATCTTTTTTTTTTTCCAACAGCATTTCTGCAATACACAGAAAAGGGTACAATCTGCTTCCATACAGCTGGAGAAAACTCTGGTAGCTCACGCACATTGATTACATTCTCAGATGGGTTCAGGTTGGTCGGGATGGCTTTTCTCACTTTAATTAAAGAAAGTATCATCTGAAAGCTTCATTTTGTAGTTCCTTTGGTTATCTGTGACGGATGTTTTCACAGCTAAGTGTGACAAAAAAAATCAAAAACGGTAGAAACATGTTTGGAGGAAAGCACGTTTTCACGCCACTGCAAAAGTTGTTAGAAACGACACATGCAGGGCTGTCTTTTATTAAGAATTGTAGAAAACAGAATGGTAAATAATAACAGTGTCGCATAATAACAATAAACTGATTGTATCAAAAGTATGCGAGGAGCTTTTGAACACAGTGGCATGACACTGAAATTAGCATTAGAAAGTTATTTTCTGTGTATCCTTCTGACATTTGTGCTTTTTATTATTTAGTGCTTTCATCCTGTGGATAAAATTTTGACTGCTCTTGTGAATTCCTGTTTTTGTTTACATTAAAGCTTGTATATTTATGCCGATCTTGTCAGCTTTCAAGTTTTTAAGATATTTTCACTTTAAAAATGAAAATTGCTTCCCTTGCACTTGTTGGTGCTGCATGCAGTAGTGCATCATTAAAGGTTGTTTTATTTATTTATTTATTTTTTTCTGATGCCATAGTGTTCTGCAGTATATATGCTGAAGGCACTGAGCTACCTCTAATGCCGAAATCGATGGTGGTCCAACACAATGATGTTACAACCTTTGAAATATCCGCACAGATAACCTTCAATGAAAATCATTTGTAATCTCTCAGCTTGTGTTGTGTCCTCATCCTTGGCATGTCGATCTTGCCTGCCAGCCCAGACAGACAAACTTCTGGATAATTGATCTTGTTTTCCACCCCAGTCTGGGTTTTTCTGACAAACACAAGCCCCCAGCTGCTTCCTTGCTCGGGGCATCCGCCACGTTTTATGTGCTTCTGCAAAAAGAAAAAATCCGAGTGTAAAGTGTATCCAACTGAATAGATTAGCTGCTTATGTATGCAAAACGTGGCTGACTTGTCTGTATGAGACTCGACTCAAAGGATAAAACGGATGCGCATTGTTGTAGTTTTTGAAATTTAATCAATGGATTTTCACCCATTAGTGATAAATGTACTGTTGCTGAATATAAACCAAAGCCAGAATGTGCGCAAAGATGTTGGCTCAGCACGAGAGAAGCCACAAAAATTGGATTCTTTGTGATATTTGCTGCCTTGATGAGATGTATAGGTGTGTAAGGGAGAATATAATGTTGGATCGGCATGGTGCGGAGACATATGTCAGCCCCTGTGGATCCTGGGACAGCAGCCAAAGCAAGAAGGCGAGATAATAGAAGGGAGCAAGCTCGGTAATCAAATGGAGGACAGGAGAGAATCACTTATCACTTACAGAACAATCAGCGAAGCCTATCTTTTATTCGCCAGCCTAATCAATGCTGTCGTCACTTTGGTTTATTGCATATGTAATGCCAGAGTATTGACTCGGAGGGTGTTTGCAGACACAGCAGATTGTGTGTGTGTGTGTGTGTGTGTATGTGTGCCGGGATCCAGGCTGCTCCCCTCACATTGAAAAGCATCTAAATGTCTCCAAACTCTGCATGTTAAATGCATTTGTTAAGCAAGGCAACTGACCCTGATTTTGGGTGTGTTTACCTTATTATTCTAAGCGTCCCTTATTGCTGTACTAAACTTTTATTGCTGGAGTGCTCAGAATATTGATAGTCTCTTTGGCTCACTTGTGTCTCATTAAAAATTCATGGGGATTTGTGTGGCGGTCTGGCTGCATGTCAGAAGCAAACGAGAAGGAAAGTGCTTAACATGGTGGAACAAGACTGCCCTCTGGTGGTCAGCCTAGGAATCCATGTCTCAAGCCATTGAAACAGATTTGCTTCTTTTTTTCAAGCTAACTTGTTTCATCTGGATAGCCGAATGATAAAGCAGGCCTTGATTTATTTTTAGACAAAGTGGAATTAATTTTTAAAAGACAAATTTGCCTATTTTTCATAGACATTGCTTTGAAAAAGTAATTACACCCCCTAACCTTCTCCATAATTTGTCACAACTTGAGCCTATTTTGTTGGGATTTTTATGTCATAGACTAACATTAAATCGTGCATAATTGTGATTGGGAAGGAAAAGATCAATCTTTTTTGGTGTGCCTCTACCAATTTTGCACATTAAGACAATACATCTTTATAGCACATAAACATGGTTTGATTTAAATGGTCACCAGCTTTCGGAAAAGCAGGATTGATTCAGATGTTCAAAGCTTTGGATATTGTCTTGACCATATTACTGGTTTGCACTTTTCCACAACTTTGCTGGTCAGGTTTTTATAATTTTACCCTCTACTTGCAGTTATTTTGTGTTCGTCTATTTCATAAAAGCACAAGAAAATATTTGGAGTTCCAGCATAACACAATGTTTATCAGGTCAAGGGATGAGAAAGCTTTTGCAAGGCACTATATCTCTGTTAAATTAACCTACTTTGTTCTTTTTTTTTTTCTTTTTTTTTTTTAGCTTGCAGGACAGTGGTGCAGGCAGACATCGTGTTCCTGTTGGATGAGTCATGGAGTGTGGGTCAGACCAGCTTTTTTAGAGTTAAAGACTTCATCTCAGCCGTCATGTCCTCCTTTCAGGACAGCGCAGTGGGAGCTGAGGGGGTTCGCTTCGGAGTCACTCTCTTTGGGGATGTTCCGAGGTAGTCGAGCATGAACTTCTGACACCATGTCAAAGACTTGTTTTTTCCTCTCGGTTGAGAAGTCATCTAAACAAGTTTTTACATGCGCAGAAACCCCGTTCCTGTCTCCTGTTCCATCATTTCTACATGACCCAGTTTTGCTTCATGCCTTTGCTCTACAGGATGCTGGTTGCTTTGACAGACTACAGTTCACTTGAGGAGGTGCTCAGAACTGTTGGAAACCTCCCCTACGGTGGAGGATCGAGGAGGACGGGCAGCGCTCTCCAGTTCCTTGTAGATTCTGTGTTCAGCCCTGCCATCAGCCGAGATTTTACCCCAAAGGTACTGCAGTTCGTATGTTGAGACTAATCATGGGTAACTGCACTTGTCTGGTTTTATTTAATTGCTTGATACCTCCAACGTGCAGATGTTTGACCACGAGTTGGAGAAAGAACCCGTTCGAGATGCCAATCCATGCTGCAAATGCGTGCATGCACCGTGCCCCGCATGACAGGAAATGACTTGCCAGGAGTCTGTATTTGTACTCCACAGGACACCGTGGCATAAACAAACAAAGTGGTCTACCATTTCACACTGCCGTGAATTTGATTAAAGCGTCCCGCTGTATGCTTGAAATAAAAATCGATCGCGTGTCTGCGGCTGACAGCAGATTTTCATCTGTTCGCATTGTCTTCTGTTTGGAGAGGGGTGAAAAAAAAAAAAGGGAAATTTATAGATTTTCCAGCACAGATTCTGCATGCTCAATCAGGCTGTCAATAATGGACGACTTTCCAAATGGTTGTGAAAGTGAATCTGTAAATCCGTTGCTCATTGACAAAGATTAAACTGAGCGTCCCTCTAATAAGATAATACATCAGCACAGATTTAGTTTCATTAAGCATTATTTGCATGGTAGCTTTTCTTGAATCCATGGAATTTCAAATGCGGTCTTGTTCATATCATTCCACTTAATATTCATTCATGTCTGCAATTCTGGAATGCATCACTCCAAAAAAGGCTTTACTTTGTAACGTTGCAACAGATTTTCTGGCACTGAGAAAACTGCAAGTAATTTCAACCCAGATCCATGTTTTCCCCCTCAGTCACCAAAAAAGACGACTTAACTTTTGCCATCTTTGTAAAGCAGAACAGGTTACCCTCTTAAACACACATTTTTCAAGTGTGTGCGTAAGAAAAGAACAGAGGAGGAGGATGAATTATTAAATTCTTCAGTCTGATTCATTTGCTGAACAGCAGCTACATTCTCACACCGACCTGTCAGGCTCCTCTTCCTCACTCACACAGGAATAAAGTTGGAAAATTCAGTCTCTGTTGCAAATTCCTCTTCATCCATTTAGGTAATTTGTCTGTAATTGAGAAGTAAACCATGTCAACGCCGATGCAGGATTTGAGGAGAATAATCGATTTTCAATGGAGGCTTCTTATTTAGAAAATTTGCTCGGAGGGCAGATTTGGCGAATTAGTCATGCCAGCAAATAGGCAAAACAAAAATAAATTGAGTATACAACTTCAGGGCAGATACACAGCTAATAAATCTGGATCACACTGAAATTTTTATGCTTATTGTTGGCTTTATATTTCCCATTAGCTGTCTCTAAATGGTATTCTAAAATGACATTATTAGCATCTGAATTAGCATGAAAATGGCATAAATTTAAGGCGTGAATATTCATAAACCTGTTAATATATTGCGGCGTATCTAATTTCCTGTCTCTCTGTAACACAGATTGCTGTTTTGATCACAACCGGACGCTCGGATGACCAGGTCGACCTTGGAGCCAAGGCGGTTGCAGACAGTGGGATTACACTCTTTGCAGTAGGTGAGTGTGAAAGTAGGCATTGAGAATTCCTTCAACATCCCCACTGCAGCAACCAACTTCAGATTTTATCTGTGCTCTGCTCGTCTGTCGGGTGTGTCTTGTTGTTAGACGTTCATGTCCCATGCATTTGAATTTGTGTTTTCGGTGTGGGTATTTGTTTGAATGTGTTGCGTTTCTTATTTAGAGGGTGTACGTGTGTATTTATTCGTACTACATAAACTTAA